TTTTTATTTATGAATGAAAATTAGTCATCAAAAATAGTAAGGCACTATTAATATGGAGAAATAGAATTGCTCTGCCTTGAGGAAGATCATTTGAATAAATAGACTCATTATAAGTCACACGTTTCTGGCATTTCCCCCCTAGACACAATGTCTTGCGGAGATGAGCAGCAATCTCGGGCCCTGACCAAACCGACTTTCAGTGATGTTCATGCCTCTGCCTTAGTGGAATCGGTATTTGGGCTCAAGGTTTCCAAGGTCCAGCCACTGCCCAGCTACGATGACCAAAACTTTCATGTGTACATTTCCAGAACCAAAGACACTTCAGCTCCCGATGGCCCAACTGAATATGTTCTCAAAATAAGCAACACAGAGTCTAGCAAGACTCCAGACCTGATTGAAGTGCAGAGTCACAGCATCTTGTTTCTGAGAGCCGCTGGCTTTCCGACAGCCTCCATGTGTCGTACTAAAGGAGACAACATAACCTCTCTGGTGTCCGTAGGTAAGAGATGACCACGTCGACTGCCAGTCTGATCATATTCAGGGATCCCTTCAGTTGTTGAACGCAATTCGTTCCACATTCATGTTCGAACGCCGAAAAGTTGGAGAACTGAACATATTTTTCCCATAAGAAATCATGGAAAACCAAATAATTGGTTCTGAGGCCCCCAGATTACACTCATCAATTCATTTTTCCAGGACTTTAAGTCACTACAACGGAGGCTTTTATCCTCCTTGCACATCACTGTTCAGAAACACTATCGCCATTGTTGTTTCTGACCCATCTAAATTCACAGTGTCTTCAATCTCTCTGATGGGCGGGGTGCTTTGTTTTCTGGTCCATGATTTCACACCTTCTGCTACATGAGCCGCTTTAATTACCTTTGTTTTGAAAGACCCTGATGGACACAAAACTAAGGAAACACATAAAAATCAAGTTTGGGGGCTTGGCTTTTTATTTTGCTCAGAAAATTATATTTATTTATCAGGCCAGCAGTACATTACGGTGCTGTGACCCCACAGAAAGAACATTGGACTGAGGGTCAGGAATTTTGGATCCCAGCTCTGTCATTAGCTGTGTAGGTGACCTTGGGCACACCGCTGAAACTCCTACATTTCCTCACCTTGAAGATTTGGCCCCTTTCACTTCCAAATGCTAAAATATATTTAATTTTACATCTCCAGAAATTAACTTGGAATATTCTAAAGGTGTAAAATCTTTTTATGACTATTAGTTTAAATAGTTTTATCGGGATATAATCCACATATCATACAATCCATTAGTTCAATCTACAGGTGTGAAATCTTGACTATCCTAAATTTTTTTTCTCTCCTTACTTTTCAACCATCCTTTCCTTCTTTCTTTTCCCCCATAGTTTTGCTGGCACATAATTCACATGTCAGACAGTGTAACGATTCAGTCACATAAAGAAGAGCTGTGCCGTCATCACCACCATCGACTTTAGAACAATTGCTTCTTTCTCATCTTCATTGTCAGCTCCTCATTTCCCCAACCTCCCCTGCTATGCCCCTGGGTAAAACTGGATTTATCAATCCAGTTACTGTCTCCATAGGTCTACCTATCCTGGATTTCATATATAGAAAATCATACAGAACACAGACAAGGCAGCAAGCAAGCAAACAATCATGACAAAATGCACCAGAAAAAGCCCAAAGAAGAAGAAAGCAGAAAATATTAAAAACAGGCAATTTAAGCCTCTGACTCCAGGACAGTCATTTCTTTCTCTCTCACTTGCCCCAGCTGTAAAAGTGTGTGTTGGAGGCATTCGTGTAGCTGACTTCCATTTAGGGTAAGGTGACCAGACATCCCGCTTTTGACGGGACAGGCTCAATTTTTGGCATTTTTAAAAGGTCCCGATTTTTGGAAAGAATGCATGACAAGCTAGGGAATGGTCTATTTGGTCCATATAGACCAAATGTTTAATCAAGAACACGCCCCCCGCCCCCCAGGTCAATGGTGACCCACTTTAAATCTGGTCACCTTAGTAGGGTGAAGACGAGTTGCTGCTTGTGCTGAATCTAGCTTTCTTCAAGCTCGTCTGTGCCATCCGCTTGCTGTGCCCACGTAACTCTGGCTCATGGAATCTTGCTCACCAACTGTTTTAGGTTAGCACAAGTTCCTCTCTCTTTTCCTGTAATTTCTGTGATTCTCAACAGAAGAATCTAATGATTTCTTTTGAGGAGAGTTGACGGTGTGTGTTGTACCACCCATCTAGATAGTGGCTCTGAAATCAAAAGCTACGTGGTGAGGCTGATGACTTACCTCCCGGGCAGACGCATCGCCGAGGTTTCCGTCAGCCCCCGGCTACTCTATGATGTTGGAAGACTGGCTGCCAGGCTGGATAAGACCCTGGAGGTGAGAGATGTGGTGCTTTGTAACATCTTTCTGTGGGTTTCCTTAATAAATGCAGGCTCAGACTCTTTGCTCAGTGCTTCCTAAGGGGTATTAGGAGGGATGCGTGTATTTTAGGATAAGCAGTAAGGCTACCTTCTCCCCAGGTCTGGACTTGACTGCGGTGTTGGTAAGGTTGTCCACGTTGTTAGAAAGTCCTGGTACTCGTTATGCCCCTTGGGAGGCAGTCTGTATTCACCCGTGGAAGTCGAAAGTTTTCCTCCTAACAAGGTGGAGTCAGGCCGGGCTCGAGCCTTCCTATTTAATCCTTCCCGGTAAACGAGGCAAGCCATAGATCGTCCACAAACCTCCAGCCAGCAACAACAGGAGCCATGCTGCAAACAAGCTGGACGCCAGAAGGGTGGTCGGCTTGCCAATACTCTTGATGATTTCAGGCTGTTTTCACATTGGATTCTCTGTTGTCAGGGTGAGACACTGAGATCAGATGCTTCTGTAAGTTGGGCACTCTTCATCCAGTGAACCCCCAAACAGGACGAAGCCACCCGGAGCGCTGCCTCTCTGATATTTCCTAGGGAATCTGCAAGGGCCTCCCTTCCCCTCTTCCCCCATTATCACCATTTAAGTGTGTGTTAAACAACTTCAGAAGACTAAATAGTTTGGTCAAAAAAACCCCAAAACCCCTACCCCCCACGGTATTTATCCTTTTATCCTGAAATAGCAATAAGCCTTGTAACTATTTAAAAATCTTTATTAATTAAAAAAATTAAGATAAATACACAAAGCAAAAATGTTTAAGAATACCATCATTCAAAAGAGGTCTCAAAAAGAAATACAAATTTTAAATGTTTTAATTTTTAAAAAAGGAGGCCTTCTCTCTCACTTCCTGTGAATTCTCTTAGGGCAGTGGTTCTCAACCTTCCTCATGCCATGACCCTTTTATACGTGTGGTAGTGACCCCCCAACCATAAAATTATTTTCGTTGCTACTTCATCACTGGAATTTTGCGACTGTTATGAATCAGGCGACCCCTGTGAACGGGTCGTTCGGTCCTCAGAGGGGTCGAGACCCACAGGTTTAAACTGCTGCTTAGGCTAAGATGACAGCCCTGGGGCTAAGCTGGCGCCCCGAGAGTGTTGGCAAATGGACAGCTCATGGTCTGAGCTCATGGCAATCACCGCTTCCCATTGCACTCTCCTGTTCAGCGAACTTTTACGGAGCCAGGCAGTGCCTTTTCTGCGTGGTCAACGTAATGAAGCATGGCTGTTGAAATTGTTTTCGTTTAAGGCGGAGCAGTCCCAGCTCCTTGAAAAATCCATCCGTGTGTGGATTCAAATAGCCTGTTCCAAGAAAAGGGATTTCCAGGAAATGTTCTCCATGTGTTAATAGTACAGGACTTGTCCCCGAGTGGAATGCTCATTTAGGTCTCTGCCAGCCTCACCAGCAAATCCAGATGAGTGAATGAGTGAGTGACTGACGGTCACGGAACAGGAAGGAGTTCACCTTTACCACTGGCCTTTCTCTCCTGCCCTCTCTGGGCATTTCATGCATGTGCTGCATTGCCTCAGAAAGGAAAAGGTAAACACCGGGCCAGACAGCTGCTGTCTAGTTAGCCACCTGCAGCTCTGCTATGCACCTTCCCTTCAGGTGTGCTGTCTGGCCCAGAGCACTGTAGAATGAGCCAGGGAGCCCTTCTCTCTTGGTGCTGCAAGGCCTTTCACCCTGGTTTTTCCAAGGCCCGTCCTGCACTTCCCCTCACCCCAAACCTCTACAGATGGCAATTTCTTAGCTTACCTTGGTGGCCAATTCATGGCAGCCCCAGGACGAAGATGAGAACTGCCATGCAGGATTGTTGAAGCTATCGGCTGCCTCTGGATGGCTTTGAACTACCAACCTTTGGGCTACTGATTAAGTACTTAACCATGTGGGTGACCGGAGGGTCCTGGTCTGTTTTGTATGAGCGGTAACACATGTGCAGAGCCCATGCCAAAGGTGGCATTTCAGCCCTGT